CCTCGGTATCCTGCTCAAGCACCTTCGACTGCTGCAGCTGCTGCATGAAGACCGACTCCGGCAGCTACCTCGGCGGCCGCAGATCCACGATCTGAGGCTCGTTGGCGGTGTGGCTGTCCTCGAGCATCGCCTCCAGGACGAGGCAGCGCTCCACATACTTGTCCAAGCTCCTCTCCAAGTCAAGAACGACTCCAGAGTGCTTCTCCAGCTGCCGCTGCAGCTGACCGAACTCCTTCCGATCGGTCTGCACGGCGGTGCTGCGGGTCGCGGCAAGGCCCTCTGAGCGCCCGTGCGTGTTACTCTCGGCAGGGCGTGGCACCCCCGCCGACTCGAATTGCGCGGCCATGTCAGCCCCGATGCTGCTGCTGCTGCAGCTGCCAGGGGCGTCCTGAGGGGCCGCGTCACCGCCACCATTCGCCTGATGCGACGACGCTGGAACTGCTGGCTTGCCTGCTGGTCCAAGGCCCCTAAGGCCCCCCTGCTTTCCCAGCGCCAGCTGTTGGGCTGCCGCCGTAGGCCTGCACGACACCCAGCGCGTGCAGCAGCGCCTCCGTGTCGGCGCCTGGTCGCACAGGGCGCGCAGCCGTCCCAGGCACCAAAGGCGGCGCCGCCACGTTCCAGATGGTGCGACTGCGCGCCAACTGCGCGGCCTACGCGGCCCTCGCAACCGCTACAGTCTCCGCCACGCAGATCTCCACGCAGCACTCCACGGGCGCCGCGCCTCTGGCGGCTGTTTTCTCTGGGCCCTCGCCGCGCGGGCGCGGCAGGCGGGGCCCCCGTTGAGCCTGCCGCCACGCTGCAAACGGCGCTCCCACGGGGGGAACGTGCTTGGCGTGGCACCCGACGTGGTGCCTGAGCGCGTCCTCATGCAGCACCTCGCGCTCATCTTCCTGTGCCTCCAGCACCCGAGCTACATGCGCTAAGCGTTGCCCAGCGCTAGGCGAAACGCCGGTCAGCTGCTCCGCCTGGTTCTACACCAGCCGCCTGCGCGAATAGGCCGCCCACTGCTGAGCAGCCCTCCGAACGCCGTGCGATCACCAGCAAACGCCGATGGCCGACCGCCCAGCGGACTGGCCCCCCGTCGCCATCTTCATGCAACCGCCCCGCACCTTCGAAGGTCGTGCGGCCACTCGGGCCCGCGCGCCACGGCGGCAGGCTCTCGCCCGTCGCTGGCGGCCGCACGCCTTGAGCCAGCGGCCAGCAAAGCACCTGGCGTGAGCCAAAATGGCTACGGAGGGAGGAGGACCAAGCGTTACATGAGGTGTTCCTGCGACTGTCGGCTCCGACTGGGTGGCGCTGGGGCCCTTTTTCTGAAGAGGTCGTTACCTGATTGCCACTTACGCCACCAGCCGAGCCAAAAAACAAAGTATCCAGACTGTGACAAACAGGCTTTGGGGGGTCCCCTTCAGCCCCACACACATAGTCAGAACCAAGACAACCAAAACTACCCGCTCAAACCCGAAACCAGATCGTACCATGCGCTGCTCTACTTCGAAAAGAGAACTGCGTTTAAACTGTTGAAGAAATTCTGGGGCATTATCTGGCATGACACCGGAAGAGAAGACGAAAAGCACAGACGTCTAAAGCCGAGCTCGCAAACCGAGCCTTCTGGAGGAGTGCCCCAGGGGGAATTCGGCGGCGGCCCGCACCGCTTCAGAGATTTTTCCCGGAGGCGGGTTGCGGTGGGCGGGAGCCTGGGGCCAACGCGAGCAATCCTGTGTATAGGAAAAGCTGCGACCACTCTCCTGATGCCCGTGGGGGAAGGGTCTGACAGGGCAAATTGGGCAGCTGTGCGCTCTGGAAGGGGTCCCCCCATTGTCAAAGACCAGTGCGTGTTGCAGTGTGCGCATGTGTGGTAATGTCGTTAATCATCACTTGCGCTGCACCCGAAGACGCACGTGTGCGATTACTGCTGGAGCCGGTGTTCGGTGGTCCAGTTTCCGAACCACGTGCGGAAACATGCGGAAGCCCAAGCGACAGGGACCTTGAGGAGCTGAACTCTGAAGGCCCCCGCGGGAAAAACAAAACGGGGCGGCAGTTCTAGGAGTAGGAGGAGAAGGAGGACCAGGAGAAGGAGGAGGAGGAGGAGGAGGAAGAAGATCAGGAAGAGGAGAGGAGGAGGCGGAGGAAGGAGGGAGGAGGCGTGGAGGAGGATGAGGAGGAAGAGGAGGAGGAGGAGGAGGAGGAGGAGGAAAACGAGGAGGAGGAGGAGGAAGAAGAGGAGGAAAAGGAGGAAGAAGAGGAGGAGGAGGAGTACGAGGAGGAGGAGGGGAGGACGAGGAGGAGAGGAGGAGGTGAGGTGAATGAGGAAGAGAAGGACGACGAGGAGGAAGGAGGAGGAGCAGGAGGAAGGAGAGGAGAAGAGAGGAGGAGGAGGAGGAGGAAGAAGAGGAGGATGGGGAAGAGGAGGGAGGGAGGGAGGGAGGGAAGAGGAGGAGGAGGAAGGAGGAGGAGGATGAGGAGACGGGAGGGAGGGAGGGGGGGGGGGAGGGAGGGAAGGGGAAGGAGGGGGGGGGGAGGGAGGGAGGCAAGGAGGGAGGGACGGAAGAGGAGGAGGAGGAGGAAGAGGAGAAGGAGCGCACCGTGCCTCGGCGCGCAAGGGGGCAAGCGCAGCAGGGTGCGCTCAGAAGCCCTGATGCCCTCGACCACCAGCTCGATGTTCCAGCTCGCCTCGCCGCTGAACTTGAGGGCGTGGTAGGTCACGTAGGCCGTTACCGGGCGTATGAAAAATCGTTCATCATGATCTTGGCACGGCGCGCACAGACAGAGCCGATCCAGACGATGAACAGGCATTTCGTGCACATGAAAGCGTAGCCCGAGGCGAAGTGCGCGCCACAGCCTGGGACATTCGATCTAGTTCTTGAGGCGGTCCTTGGCGTTGTCGCACCCGAAACGGGATGGGGGGCGGCCGCGATCCCCCAAAATCCGCCACGGCGTCATCCAAGCATTACCCCAGGACCTCAGAATTTGCCACGCCTACGAGAGAGGCAAGCGCTGGACCTTGACCTCAGGGAGTCCCAGTCGATATGCCCGACCAGCTCAGCACACTGGGGCCGCCAGATCGGCACCTGCTTGGATGCCCAGCGAGGCGTAGAGAACAAAGCTGCATGCGCAGCTAGCCGCCACTTCAAGCGGCGCCGCAGCTGCGGCGACGTACCGCCTGGGCGCAGGCAGCCGCCATCGCGAAGAGCGCTGTCCACCAACAGGCGACCTGGCGAGGCGCGTCCAGCGCGCAGTAGTCTGAGCGAGGGCAAGCCAGGGCAATGCGAGCAGGCCCGCACCCCGTGCAGGTGCTCCATATAGCTGGGCACCATCCAATAGCGCGGGGATAGCCCGGCCAGCTCACCTCGTTCGTTCAGCATGGCGACTGGTAAGTTCAGGATCTGCTTCGACACTTCGTCTAAGAACATGACGCGCAGCCGCGGTGCGATCGCCCCGAAGGTCGCCCAGGCCGAACGCATCAGCGCCGCGAATGTACAGGCCGACCACGTAGGGGCGAGAGGACCGCTCCATTCGCGCAGACGAAGAAATTGATCCGGCTGCAGCGCGCCGAAAGGCAGGCGAAACGTCAACGCCAGGAGCCCCAGTTCACGAGAAGGTAGATCAGCAGGAAGAGGCGCCAGTTGGGAAACGCACGAGAGGCGCGAGACGCTTCACGAGGAGTAGCGCTGTGCAAGCGCGAAGGCCGGAGCTCGGCAACGCCCGAAAGCCCGCCCACGCGAGATTACCTTCAGGATGGGTTCGCGGCACTGCATTTCGCCATCAGCAGCCGGGCCCAGCCAGAGACCTAAGTGCTTGAGGGCGCGCGCGACCTGGCAGGCCCGCCGAGGAGGCGCCTCAGCGCCCATGCGAGCCATAATTTTGGATTGCAGCTGCTCCGAGAAGGTCGCCTCCAGCGGGGTCGCGTTGCACTTGGCAGACATGGGCATCGGGGCGGCCGCGCGCTCGGTGATGAGGAGCACGCGGTGGGCACGCTTGAGATGCAGCAGCGCCTCGAGAGCTCCGCCATCGTCGTCGGCGCGCCAGCGCGCGGTGCCGCGAGCCCGATCACCGATGGCGCGAGTCAGATCGGTCGCGAACGGCATGGTGAAGATGGCGAATGGCGAGCCAGACATCGGGCGGCCCTGCGCCATGCCCGATGACGCCGCGTAACCAGGCACCAGCGAACTCCCCATCACCATGTGGCCTACCATCGGAGCGCAGCACACCTCCAAGAATGTGAGGAGCGGCGGGCGAAGAAGCACGCGCCGAAGAACATCGGACATGCATCCCTGGGCCAGGGGCGGGAACGCCTGGGCAACGTCCAGCGAGAACAGGATGGGCGAGCCTTCGGCGGCCCTCTCGGAGAAGCTGCGCACGCGCGCGGCGCCGTCCAGCTCCAGGGCGCCGGCCATGAAGGGGCGATGCGCCGCGAAACCACGCCGGGGCCAGGGCGCCACGAGCGTCGTAATCTGCATCAGACCACGATTGATCACAAGGGCCATCACCTTCACATCTGTGATCCGCAGCCAGGCGACGCGAAAATTACTGGCGCGGCAAAGGCAGCCCTCAGGATTGCCGTCGGAGGGGTCGGAGACTTCGGGCATGAAGACCTGCGGCGCGCCCGTGGAGCTGGCCAGCAGCGGTTGCCCCATCATCTGCCACTGGGTCGCCTCGAACAGCAGCTGGGCACCGCGAGCGCGGGCTTGCCTCGCAGAACAATGGAGCTCGCCGAGGCCGGGAGCTCCAGGCCGCGCGCGGCGCAGCTCGCGGCGAACGTCATGAGCAGTAAGCGGCCGAAGAGCACGTAGATCGTGAACAGGAACCAGCCGGTGAACATATCGCTGCGCCGCGGCCTCCTCTCGCGGGCGCCCGGTGAACCGGGGCCCTCACGCTGGCGACGCTCGGCCGTGAACCATTGGATTCGATTCGGCCGAGCCAGAAACGCTTCGGCAGAAACCAGCTGGACACGGGGGCCATGGATCACCGCGAAGTATTTAGCGAGCGGGTGTCCACGAAGCAGGCGATCCGCAATTAAGATATCATTCCGCCATGCCACGCGGGTGATGGCTCGGGCAAGCTGGACAAGCGTGGCAGGATGACGTGGATCCAGAAATGCCAGCTGGTCCCTCGCAAGACGCGCCATGTCCTTTAAAAAGTCCTTGCCTGCTTCGAAGGCCGACGGCGGCGACAGCGAGGTGAAGTCCAGAAACGGCTCGATGGTGGCCGCCAGCTTCGTGAACGTATTGGATTTCAGCACGTGGCTGGAAATCGGAAAGCGATGGGGATCACGACGAGCGCGCAACTCGATCACGAACGTCACGGCCGAATGGTCGCTGATCTGGCGTGCAAAAACCTGTTCGGGTTGCTGGTGAAGAACAGCATGCGCGTGAAACTGGCAGGCCATTTATCCAGGCATCGACACGGAACCGCGATCGATGAGAGAGAGAGCGTGTTCGCGGAGGCGGTGTAGTGACTGCCATAATTCGCGCGAAATCTCCAGCAGGGTGTCCAGGCAAGGTCGCCAGCGAGGTACGAGCGCACGGGGATGGCTAGACGGTTCAGCAAGATGAGGAAGATGACGAGGAATATCGCCCACGGGCACAAGATTGAAGTCACCAACAACCGTCAGGAAGACTTTGTTGGGCTCGCGGGAGATCTCTATAGTGAAGAGTCGCACTTGGGCAGCATTGAGGTTGTAGACATTCTAAGGTGTTAACCTGAACGACGGCAACACCAGACGGAGACGAATCACCCGACCAGGTAAAAGAGCATCAGCCTAGAATGCGGCAGTCCAGAGCGCAATTCTCGAACACGCGGTAGGCACGCCACCACGTCGAGCGCCAGCAACGCCCTGCATACATAATGACTTCACAGCCACGCCAGGCACCGTCAGATGGATGAGTCGCTTAAGTTGCTGGTTGCTGCCATGTACTTCTTGGAGGGCAACAGTACTGCAGTCTGGCCGCAGCGAGCGTAAGTAGTTGGCCTTGATGGATGCGTTGGCGCCCTTTGTGCTGGAGGGGCGCCCGAAGAGTTCCAGGTAATGAAAACATCTGTATATCGGGGCACGCCACGCCCTTATTCGTCATCGGAAGAGTGGTCTAAAGCAAACACCTGTCAGGTTTCATCTGGAGGAGGGGGAGGAGGAGGAGGAGGAGGAGGAGGAGGAGGAGGAGGAGGAGGAGGAGGAGGAGGAGGAGGAGCTTGTCCTGCTCCTGCGCCGCGGGGCTGGCGCCCTCCCCCGCCTCTGCCAGCCGCGGCGGAGGCGGGAGCGCGGCGTGCGTCGGAGAGGCCTCGGAGCGCGATCGCGGGCGCCTCCTCCCTCACGATCACGATGCGTGACCGTCTCCTCCTCCTCTTCCTCCTCCTCCTCGCCCTCCTCCTCCTCCTCCTCCTCCTCCTCCTCCTCCTGCTCGAGAGCCCCCATCCTCACCCGTCCCTGCTCCTTGCAGGTACCTCCTCCCTGTCGCACCCCCGAGCGTGTCGGCAGGGCGGGCCGGGCAGGGCATCTCGCCTGATCCTTCCCTCGCCATCGCTCGGACGTCCATTCCCTGTGTTTTTTTTCGGTTTTGTGCGTGGTTTTTTCGCCAGATGATCAAGGATGCTCCTCGATGGTCCTCACCGAGGGGAAAATGCACACGTCCGAGCGATGCCAAGTTCCTGACCACTCATGATCCTGAAGCTTGGCATGTGCTGCTTCACGGCTGGGGGGGCGGGCCGTCGTCAACGTGTGGCCCTCTCGCTCTTAATGTCGGGCACGTGTGCCCCAACGGTGTGCAGCAGCTTCCGGGACGGAGAGCGGGTGGCTCTCAGAGGTGTGGCTCTTGCCTCAACGCGCCACGAGCATTCGTCGGAAAGGTTCGCAGCAGCTTCACCGGTGGAGGGCGGCTCTTTTTCTCAGAATGCGGTTATCGCGTTAGCGCCGCGCAGATTTGCTTTACATGTTTACAGCCGTGTCGGGGGTTCGTATGCTTGAAGTTCCAGGAACGGCGTCCCGGCACGAGTTGGGATTGTCAGGACGCAGCAGTCACGTTGATTCGCTGTGCTTGCGTTCCAGAACTAGTGCGTTGGCACGACTGAGAGTTCTCAGACGGCTGTCTTCTACAATAACGAAGCACTGACCGTAATGAACATACATTATTGTAGGGGGCCACGAATCGGGATCTTGGACGGAAGGTTTCTTGCACCATCGTTGATGCGTCTTGAGTCTACGCTGGTCCTTCCCCTGTTCCTCCTCCTCATCATCATCCTCTTTCTTCTCCTCCTCCTCATCCTCCTCATCCCACGTCCCTCCACCTCGATATCCTCCTCCAGAGCCTCGGGGTTTGGGGCGTGGCTCGGTAGTGAAGCTGTGGGGAGTGAGACAATGGAGGGACTAACTAACAGGAGGACAGGCGGGAGGTGAAGAGCGACTGGAGATGAGAACGGTGGAGGAGGGGGGAAGAGGGAGGGGGGAAGAGAGAGGTTGGGCAAGCTAGGTGCGCTTGCGCCGTATCTGACATCCCACACTGCCCACCGATCCCTTCCCTCTGCGTAGATTGTTTCTCTGTCCGCCGACGCGTGCCATAGCGGCACTGAAATTCCCCAAAGGACTCCCTCGTGCTTTGCGCAATCGGAAGGAAGCATGGAGCTGCGTATATTGGAGATGAAGCGGAGGAGGCGGAGGTGGTGGCGGATGAGCAGAAGGATGATCAGTCGGTACAGCTGGATGAGGAAGGAATAGGACGAGAACGAAGAGCACCAGCAGCAGCAGCAGCAGCTGCTGGGGTTGAATGACCGGGAGGGGTTGGATGACCAGAGGAAGGCGAGGGAGGGGAAAGGAATGGGGCGACAACGATGAAGGATTCGGATCCAGACAAGTGGCTCGCGCTTGGGCGAGAGCGAGCGCCATAGCTGGGAGGGATGAAGGAAAGAGGAGGGAGGCGAGGGAAGGAGGAGGTGCGAGGGAGGGAGTGGGGAGGAGAGAGAAGAGAGAGAGGAGTGCGGAGGGTGGGAGGGAGGGAGGACAGAAGAGATGAGGAGGAAAAGGGGCCTGCCGGGGCCCCTCCGCCGCTAGCAGCGATCTGCGCGGGCAGTAAGAGCTTTCAAGGTGAGGAGGAGCAGCAGCAGCAGCAGCAGCAGCAGCAGCAGCAGCAGCAGCAGAAGCAGGGCGAGGTGGGCGGCCTCCAAGCGGGGCGGCCCCGCGGCCGCGGCGACGTGGTCGCCCTCGCGCGGGCGGCGGGCGGCCTCCCTGAGGGCGCAGGGGGCCGCCGGCGCCGCCAGGGCGGGCTCCGGGGCGACCGTGCCTCCGGGGCGGCGGCGGCGGCAGCGGCGGACATGCGGCGGCGGCGGCGGCGGCAGAGGGCGGGGGCCGAGGACGACGGACGGCTGCGGCGGCGACCGAGGGCGTCGGCGGCGGCGGCCAGCCTGGGGTCATCACCGCAAAGCCCCACAGGTGGTCGGGGGCGCCGGGCGAGGCCGAGGCGCCCTCGGGCGCGTCCGCGGGCGGGGGGGGGCTCTGTGGGGGTCCGCCCGGGGGGGACCACGGGGCGGGCCACGCCAGGGCGGGGCGGGGCGGGGTGTGGACCTCGCAGAGGCGGCCCTCCGCCGCGGCGCCGCGGGCGGGGGTGCGCTCTGCGAGCAGCACGTCGGCTGCCGCGGCGCGCCTGGCGGGGGCGGGCTTCGGGGCGGGGCGGCCTTGGAGCGCGGCCAGCATCCTCGCGTACTCGCCGCACAGCTCCTCCGCCTCGGCCTTCGAGCGCAGCGCCTGCAGCAGGAGGTGGTCGAAGTTCTGCACCGAGGCGCGCTCGGTCGCGTCGAACACGCGCTGAGGCATATAGAACTTGAAGAGGTTGAGGCAACCCGAGTGCATCACAGAGAGAATCCATATGCAGCCCGCAAGCCTGCTATTGTCGACCAACCACTGCCGAAACCCGACCATCCCATCCTCGATGGTGGACAGCTCCCTGCACACCTGGTAGAACACCCAACAGATCACCGCGTTCAACATCCAAGGTAGGGCAACCGCCACGGTTGCGACTAGCACTCTCTCTTCCGAGAAATCCGCATCTGCCCTCTGTAACTCAAGGGCCACATTGGACACGTGCAAGATAACCATCAACATGCAGACCAACAGCTGAAATCGATCGTAGGCTCGGCGGCGCACCGAATTCAGCTCGGCCGCAGAGCTGTCGAGGCAAGCGTCAGACGCTCGCATCTCCCATCGAGCGTCTGTCATCGTGCCGTGGTCGTCGACTGGGGCTGGCTCTGCGCACTCCGAGCAAGTGGCGGCCGTGAGCGAAATGCATTCGCTGGAGCGCACGCCACCCTTGCTGAACCACAGCTCGAAATCGTACTTCGTGTCTGGCCGAAGATCCTGGACGCAATAGCTTTGCTTCGTGCACGCCTCGCGCTGGCGCAAAAGCTCCACTCGCGCTACGTCGCCTGGAGCGATGCCTCCGCTGCTGCGCACCGACACCTGGTACTCGCCCGCATCGTCTGCAGCGGCTCCCCACTCTAGCTCGACGACCCGTGCTCCTACCTCCTTGACCCTGGCCCACGGCACGCAAGCAACGGGATCGCCGGAGGGTGTGCGGAGCGTGACGTGATCATCGTGTCCAGGAATGCCAACAACATATGTCCTGCCCGGCCGCAGGTCGTGGAACTCGTGCCGCCACTCCAGCGCCTCCTCGCACCGCACGCCCAGCCCCTGGCACCCGAGCTCGGTGGCCTCGACGCGGCTCAGCCCGCTCGCCGCGTCCTGCAGCCGCAGCAGCCACAGGGCCGCTGGGCCGCGCCAGCGCACCTCGGCGCCCTCCGGCCACACGCGCGCGACCCGCAGCCCGAGGGGCGCCCCATGAGCGTCTGCCCCCCGCGTGGCGCCAAAGACGCGCAGCGCGGAGGCCGCCTCGGCGCGGGCCGGACCCTGCGGCGCCAGTCTTGGGAGCTCCCGCGCCTCGCTTGGTGCAACCCCTGGCGGGGCCGCCTCTGTTGCGATGGCGTCGAGTGGCCCGTGCTGCACCAGCGGCTCTGTGAGGTCCAATACGACAGCGTCGAGTAGCCCTTGCTGCACTGGCGGCTCTGTGAGGTCCAACAGCTGACCAGGAGCGCAGTTCAGCTGCAGCGGAGTCACCTGCTCTGCGCAAGGATCAGCCTCCCGCGGCAAGAGATCACCAGTCTGGAAATTACCAGACATCGGCTCTGCGGAACACTCGATTGGCGCCTCCAGTGGCGCGGCCTCCCCAGCTCGCTCCACAAGCGGTTGCACGGTGAGGCTCAGCAGAGGCATCTTCACGATCTGTTCGGCTGGGGGACTGGCAAACGTCACCTCCGCCCCCATCTGTTCCGCCCGCACCTGACCCAGAGATCCGATTTCGTGATTTTTTCAATGCGGGGTCCCTGGAGGTCCCGACCCCTTCCCCGGGACCGGTTTGTCATCCTGAGTCGTTTTGTTGACGGTCCTGGAGCCCGGCGAGGGCCCCTATGGGCCGAAAACGGCGAAAGACCTTCGTCTTGTTTTTGTCAATACGTTGGATCTCTGGGGACGCACCAGGTCAAACGTCGACTGCTCCTGCTCGGCGGCTGCTACAGCGCGCACCTGCTCCTTGCTCGCCGCTGCTGGCACTGACACAGGGCGCCGCGGCTCGCAAGCCAGGCTCAAGCACATGGCCACGGCGAGGCTGCGGCAGCCCACGCCCGGCTCGAGCGCCAGCACCTCGCCGATGTAGGAGGCGCCCTTGGCCATGGGAAAGCGCTCCCGAGTGGCGCTCGTGAGCCGGAGCAGCTTCGGGGCCCCGAGGTCCATCTGCTCGGTCAGGACCCGCCTCTGGGGCAGTGCAAAGGGGGGTCACCACTAGGGGGGTCGCCACTTCCTCGAGGAAACGCCACTTCCTCGAGACTTCCTCGAGGAACTGGGCCCCCCAGAGCCCCGAAAACGCAAAGAAACGTCCAAGAACATCCTCGACCCCTCGACTCTCCATCCTGGAACCTCGATTTCCAGGAGAAGCTGGCGACCCCCCCAGTGGTGACCCCCCTTGACACTGCCTGAGCCTCATGCGCATATTCGAGGTCGCCGCACCGGGGCACTCCCACAGCGAGAACTGGAAGAGGGCGCCCCGCAGGCCGGGCGGCGCGTCCCAGCTCAGCTGCCCCTGCGTACCAGCCTGGAACATATGCCCTATTGAAGGGAAACTGGAACACACAAATAAATACACACAAATAAAAATATCCCCCATATTTTCCCTCATGTTCTGGATTTTTGTCTTCCCCCCCACTTCCCATATTTTCCCATATTTTCTGGGAATCGCCGATTAATTGTGTCGGTGTGTTTTTTCCCCTGACCTATCCCTATGCTGGGCATCGCCTCATTACGATGCCAACCTCAGGGATTCCCTTCTTTTTTGAGGGCGCATCCCTGAGATTGTCATCGCCTTCTGGCGTGTCAATCTCAGGGATAGGGAGATGTTCGAGGCTGGTAACCTGCTGGCTCACGGCGAGCAGGCAGCCGCGGAGCTGCAGCGCCGGGGCCTCCCCGCAGTCCTGCGCCGGCGCCGGGGCGCCGCAGCTCGTCTGGAGCCAGGCCCCCACGCCGTGCCGGTTCCTGGCGCGGACGCGCCCGGAGAGGCTGGCCCCTCGTGCGCGCGCGGCCAGCACCACCACCACCGACAGCTCCTCGGCGGGCCGCGGGGCTCCAGAAGTCAAGCCCATAGGCCTCAGGATCGCCATATGGCGCGACACGTCGTCGGCGCAGCACAGCTGTGGCTACAGGAGGACACGAGCGAGGCACGAACACTGTCACAGCGGGAGCCTCTCTTCTTCGAGAAGGGCACGGGCGCGGCCCGATGTAGCACAGACGCAGGCCTCCTACGTAGCCCAAACCCCCGACAGCGTGATCTCCTCAACCCGTGGGCCTCCAGATCTCCCGACCCCTCCCCAGGGCCAGCTTCAAACTAAACGAGTCGCCACAGAGATCCAAGATCAATCATCATCGAATCGGGAGATCGGATCGAATCGGAATGTGCGTCGGATCGGGCTGCCTAGACACGCAATCGAAGTCGAATCGCATCGGCCGCCTCAAAGTGCACCGCACAGGGCCACGCAAGCACCGGGCCGCATCGCACCGCTGGAACGCCGGAATCGAACCAGGTCGAGCCGGCCGGGATCGATACCGCACCGCATCGGCCCCTCTCGGACCCCTCTTGGGGTCCAAGAGGATCGATCAATGTTGGAGCCATTTTGAGGCTTCAGAGGCCCATCGGAAGCGAAAAGCCTAGAAGGTAAACCGCATTGAGAATACAATGTGCCTGAAGGGCTTGGGCCCCTTGGGGGCTTCCCCGGGGGCTCCTAGAGTTGGAGCGATTTTGCCCCGGAGCGTCCCGGTCCTGCAGACCGCCCGGCGTCGAGGTCACGTCCACGGCCCAGGCGGCCCCCGCCTGGCCCCAGCGGGCGTCGCAGGGCCCGAGCTCCCCGGCGGCCACCTCGACGTCGTACGCGTGCACGGGCGACTCCCCGAGGTGCTCGGGGGCCAGCCACGACACCACCTCGAGGCCCCGCAGAGACCACAGGCGTGCAGAGTTACCAGCCTGGAATATATCCCTATCCCTATGTTGGGCATCGCCTCATCACGATGGCGATCTTAGGGATTTCCTCAGTTTCTGAGGGTGCATCCCTAAGATTGTCATCTCCTTTTAGCGTGTCAATCTCAGGGACAGGGGTAAGTTCGAGGCTGGTGACAAAGGCCTCGAGCCTCGATGCCTCTGACCACGGTGCCAGCCGGCGCTCTGCTGTCGGGGTCTCGATGGGCCTCTGCAGGGTCCGGGGGCTCCTCGTCGCCACGGCTGGGTTCTCCGCGAGATGCTGGCCAGAACGGTCGCACCGAGTGCAGGCACCCGCTGCACCAGGCCAGAGGTCCACGATGACGAGGGGGAAGCAGGAGAAGGAACAGTTGGATGGTGAGGTGGGGAAGGGGGAGGGATAAGAAAAGACAACAAGAAAGAGTATAGGATAGGATAAGGATGATTACGGTCGGATGCTGGGGATTAGATCGAAATGACATGTGAAGTGCGCCTACCGGGAAATCTGTTCGTTTCGTGCATGGCCTGCGTGCCGGCGAGGCGAGGCGAAGGTGCGCAAGTTCGTCCACTGGCTTGGGCCAAGTCAGGCAAAATGAGTCGGTCTGCGCCGATAGTTGTGCCGATGGTTGTCCCGATGGCTGTCCCAATAGTTGTGCCGATGGTTGTCCCGATGGCTGTCCCGATTGTTGTCCCGATGGTTGTCACGACGGTTGTCCCGATGATTCTGCGAGGCCGTGATTGCAAGCAGATCTGGTCTGCGAGGCTACAATTGCAGACAAATGAATTCTGCCATGCTTAAATACGGGAGTACGTGTTGCCAGGCCATGATAGCAACACACACACACACCAGGCGATGGTGGCAACCAATGCGCTCTGCGAGAATCTGATACACACCATGCGCCTTGCGGACCGAACCAGTACAAACATACACACTGCAGGGCATCACGTGCAATAGTGTGCCCTGCGGGGCAACACGGTTAAAACAACGCATCGTGCGGGGTACACTATACGAGGATGGGAAGGAGGGGGAGTAGGAGGAGGAGGAGGAGGAGGAGGAGGAGGAGGAGGAGGGGGAGGAGGAGGAGGGGGAGGAGGCGGGGGAGGAGGGGGAGGAGGAGGGGGAGGAGGGGGAGAAGGAGGAGGGGGAGGAGGAGAGGAGGAGGAGGAGGAGGAGGAGGAGGAGGAGGAGGAGGAGGAGGAGGAGGAGGAGGAGGAGGAGGGGGAGGAGGGGGATTCAGGAGGAGGAGGGGGAGGAGGAAGAGGGGGAGGAGGAGGAGGAACCAGATGCAGGCGTGAGTGCCGCAGGCCGGGTGGGGCGAAGGAAGGGTGCCGCCATGCGGGCCGCTGGCGCTGGCGCCGCTGGTGGAGCTCCGTGTGGCCCGTGGGGCCACGAAGCGTGTGAAGGGCGTGCCGGTTTTCGGCGGCGCCGCCGCGCGAACCCTGCCACTGGGGCCTTCGGTGGACCTCCCTGTGGGGGCCACCACGGCGAGCGAAGGGTGTGCAGAAACGGGGCGGCGCCGTCACGCGGATCGTGCAACCGGGGCCTTCAGCGGCCACCAAACGAGTGAGGGGTGTGCAGAGATGGAGACGGGGCCGCCAAGCGAACCCAGCCACTGGGGCCTTCGGTGGATCTCCCTGTGAGGCCACCAAACGAAGGAGGAGTGCGCCGAAATGGAGGCGGAGACGCCATGCGAACCCGCCACTGGGGCCTTCGGCGAACCTCCCTGTGCCCACGACTCGTGTAAGGGGTGCCCCGACATGCGAGGCGGGAGCCCATGCGAACCCTGGACTGCAGGCCTTCGCTGGAACTCCTGATGGGGCCACGCACCGTGTAAGGGTTGTGCCGAAATGAGCGGCGGGAGCTCATGCGAACCCTGGCATTAGGGTCTTCGCTGAGGCACTTTAGGTGGTCACGAGACGTGTGAAGGGTGTACCGAAATGAGCAGCGGTAATTCGTGCGAACCCTGGCAGGTTTCCCCTGTTTGGGGCTCCCTTTGGGGTGCATGAAAATTGTGAGGCGTGCGCCGAGATGACAGTCGGGAACACATGCGAACCCTGCCAGTGGGGCATTCGGTGAAGCTCCCTGTTGGGGCCACGAAGCGTGTGAGGGGTGTGCTGGCTGTAAAAGGGGGAGCTCATACAAACCCTGGCACTTGGGCCTAGTTGGGGCTCCATGGGCCTCCAAGCGTGTCAGAGGTGTGCCGAAAATCGAGGCGGGAGCTCATGCGAGCCCTGACAGCTGGGCATGAATTAGGGCTCGGTATGGGGCCGCGGAATTTGTGAGGAGCGTGCCGACATGGCAGGCGGGAGCTCATGCGAACCCTGGCAGTTGGGCATTAGTTGGGTCCCTCTGTACAGGGCCACGAAGCGTGCGAGGGATAGGCCAGCATGAAACGCGTGAGCTCATGCGAACCTTGAATGTGGGCCGTAGCTGAGGCTTCCGATGGGGCCACGAACTGTGTTAGAGGACTCGAACGAAACCTGACATTTGGGCCATCAGTGCCCCCTACGGGGCCACGAAACGTGTGAGGGGCGTGCCGACATGGAAAGCGGGAGCTTATGCGAACCCTGGCATTTGGGCCTTCGGTGGGGCCCCCGCGGGTGCAACGAAACGTGTGATGGGTGTGCCGAAATGAAGAGCGGTGTCGCCATGCGGACCCCGGCACCCGGGGCCTTAGTTGGCTTCCCCTGTATGGGGCCACGAAGCGTGTCATGTGGGCCTTAGTTGGGGCTCCGTATTGCATGAGGCCGCGAAACGTGTGAGAAATGTGCTGGCATGATGGGCGGGAGCGCATGCGAACCCTTGCCTTTGGGTCTTAGCTGAAGCTCCCGATGGGGCCACGAAGGGTGTGAAGGGCGTGCCGACATGAGAGGCGAGAGCTCATGCGATCCGTGGCATTTCGGCCTTCGCTGGAGCTCCCTATGGGGCCACGGCACGTTTGAGGTGAAAGGCGGGAACGCATGCAAACCCTGGCACTTGGGTCTTAATGGCGTGCCCAAAAGCGAGGCAGGAACGCATGCGAAACTTGGCAGTTAAGCCTTTGCTTGGGCTCCATATGGGGCCACGACACGGAATCAGAAGCGGGAGCTCATGCGAACCCTTGTCTTAGGGCGGCTACTGGGGCCCACTATGAGGCCACGAACTGCGTCAGAATACCCATGCGATCCTGGGCGTTCGGGCCTTCAGTGGAGCCCGCTATGGGGCAACGAAGCATGTGGCCTGCTGACATCAGATCGATGATGATGATCGTGCTGGTGCGCATGCCGATGATGTGGATGATGGTGATGACAGGTGTGATTCTGATGCGGGTGATGCTGATGCTGCTGGTGCTGTTGATGATGCTGATGCTGACGACGGTTTTGATGGTGGTGGTAACGCTCGTGACGACGATGATGCTTGCGACGGGAGTAGAGGACAGGGAAGGCGGAGGAGGAAGGACGGATACGGGGAGTGCGACTGACTCGAACAAAGACCAATCACCACAACATGGATATACACAACCACTCAAACCTATTGCCGCAGTCAAACCAGCAACGCAATTTATGGAACGCCAACGGAAATCAATCAGCAAACACAGAGGGTAACGCAGTGCAGCCCCATAGCGTTGATACTGCGATGTATATATATATATATATATATGCAGAAACATATCTATTCATACATATCCCAGAACACATGCGAATCCATATATACATGTATTTCTGAATTTCCCAAACAATGCTTGCTCTCAAGGTTTCCTACTTCAGTTCTGAGGAACTGGGCCGTGTCTTCGGTCTGGCGGCTATGCGGCCGCCGTCGCCGACCCGTCGCCGAACGTCGTCTGGGCCGTGTCTTCGATCTGGCAGCTACGCGGCCGCAGTCGCCGCCCCGTCGCCGCCTCGTCGCCGCCAATATCTGGGTCTGTCTGTCGGTCTGGCGGCTGCGTTGTCGCCGTCGCCGCCCCGACATAGATTACACAACATAAATTGCACCGCGCAGGTTGCAGCAACTAGATTGCAACACGTAGATTGGACAACATCAATGTCACAACGAATATTGCTCAGCGCTGGTTGCACAGCATCGATTCTCCGTTCCGCAAGAGTAATAGGATCGACCTCCCCCCTCCTGGCTGAATCGCTCCCTTTTTCTTGTGCTGCAATGTACATCTGGCTTGGCCCACCGTCCATCCTAAAAATGAACTCATACCAACCCAACCAAACCCTTTATCGCGCCCCTCTTCTGCTCCGCAAAAAAAAAGTTATGCGCGCCCACTCGTTTACCAACAATCGCCAATGATCAAGAACCCCTGACCAAAACAAACAAACAGTTGACGACATGCACACGCGCGCGTCGTTGCGCGCGCATGCCAAAATCATTTAAACACCTTCTAGGCGCCCTGAGGAAATCAAAATCGAGCATCCCGTTTTAAACCAAAATCGCGTGTCCCGTTCTTTTTGTGTAAACATGGCTTGGTAACACGGTGTTTCCCTGATCCTTAAAAAAGAAAGCGGTGCGTTCGCGTTCTTGCGAATTCTTGTGGGCACCAACAGAACATAATCAGATGGTACCAGACGCGCCCCTCGCGCGCGCATGTCGGAATCGCTCGAACGTCCTTGCTCGCGCGCTGTCGCAATATTCTTTTTTTTTTTTTGCAAAAAAATGACAAAATACACGTGCGCGCGCCGTCGCGCGCGCATGCCGACATACCTCAAGCTCTTCGGGTTCGCACGGGTGGCAAGACCGAGTGCCCCGACAACAATGTGAAAACGCATGGCCTTGCACACTCAATGCTCACACATGCCTGCGCTCGCGCCCCTGCAAATTCCAAAGAAACCCAGCAAATCTTCGCAAACTGTTCATTCAGTTCGGCCAAACGGGCCTCTCGCGCGCGCGGAATCGTTCGAGCGCCTTTTGCGCGCGTCGGCCACGCGCGCATGTTGAACTCCCTCCACAGACTTCATCACCGACGCGAGGACGCCGTCATCGC